TATTTATCGATCCGCTGGGCCATGACCACACCCATATAACAACAGAACATTTAATGGGCCAGTTTGATTTATACTATGCCTCTGGGCCCCTTCCATTAATTAATTAGAACTAAGTATAAGGCACAATTGAAGTGGTAGCCTTGTGAAAAGTAAAGATGTGTTTAATTTGAAAGGAGCTGTAATTTGTCTTTTTGGTTTTAGGGAAATTTGTTGTGCTGGAAAAGTGGAGGGTAAATCTTGTTATTTTTGTTATTAATCTGATAATTTGAAGACTTTGTATTTTCTCAAACAAAAAGTAAAAGAGAAGCATTTTCTACAGGGAGAAACGTAAATAAAACACACTGCACACATGCTATGAATAAGACAATAACATCAGGAAGTGTCTCAATGAATAGAGAGTAAACAGTTGGTGTTTAAGGCCTTGGTTCTTATCTTTTGTTGCTGTGGGTTTGTGTACAAGGTACCACCAGTTGTGTGGTGTTGTCATTCTCCTCAGGCTGCATTGTTCACACCAGCTATTTACACTCTGGAGCTATAGTATTGCACAATTCACTTGTATCGTGCAATAGTACTGAACTGTTTTCAAATTCAACACTGAGGAGGCATATTGCTTGATGCACTGATGAAATGACAGTAGTTTGCTCTGATGCTACATCTCACAACAATATTCAAAAGTGCTCAAGCCCCTGAATGGCAAATAAAAGGATTAATTCAGTTTCTATTGGTGGATCAGTGCAGGGAGGAGGCTGATGTCGGATGACTTTCAACACGTGAACAGTACTCAGAATTGGCAGTGACACGTGCCAGCGTTTGTGTACAAAAGATAGGCTTGAGTGTCACCTGTGTGTGTGCAGATAAAGTGTCCATTAGAGTCATACTCAGCAAAGTGAGCCCAGGTCAAGTAAAAATCTCTACATTGCAAGAATGCATTTCAAACTTTCATGATGTAAGCAAACCATAAACTGCTTCAGGCAACACTACTTTAACTGTAGTTAAAAGTATAATATATAACTTTTCTGCATTAAAAAACAACTATGCCTCTGTTATATATTTTCTTAAGTTGTGTATTTACATTATACCAAATGTATTCAATAATTTTCAGTAAATGTGCGTTTCATTTTGGCCATCTGTCAATCTTTATCCAGTATTTCACTTTTTAGAACTTGATAATTTTTCAGTATATGTTTTATCTGGATGAAGAATTTTAGTTATCAGACATCTGGATCTTAAGTTATCAGAGAAACAAGCTCAGCAAACATTCCAACTCAGTAAAAAACCTCCTGAACGATAAATACTGCAGGAATCCTACCGGGGGAAGCTGACTGCAATGATGGCAATGGTAGTGAAGACAGCTGCTCCCATGATCCCATGCTACTTCACAACGTCATCAAACTAATTGTTTTGTTACAGTTTTGATGTGAGAGACCCCATAGTGGCAGCAAATTACATACTGTGTTTAATTGTATTTAATGTAGTCAATTTGGAAGAGATACCAGGTGATAAAAATGTGTTTAGAATTTTCTGAATCACAGACTGTACCTTTTAAACTCTTTGCGTTGAAGATTAGCGACCAGTGCGAAGCAAATACAGTAAAATTTATTATTAAGGTGTAATCATTGCTTATGACGGTAATCTATAAATAGCAGCAAATGTGAAACAGATTATGATATAACATGTGTCATTCAATCACTTTTCTAATTTTACCATATCCATAACAATACACAAACAAAATATCAGACTAGATTCATGAAAATAGATTTTTTTTTCCCACCATTTTTCCATGGTGCAGGAAAAAGTACTTTTGCAGCATGTGAGTGAGTGGTTGAAAACCATCATGGAAAATGATTATCATAGTTTCCTCTGAGGTTCATCTAATACAGACATCTTTTTGGGTCAAACTGACACTTCAATGTAAATGGAGGTTTTATATGGAGGTTTACTACTTAAAGGTTGCTGTCTGTCTTTTAAATGTAAAAGCAGCAGTTTCTTTGCCTGAGTCCATATGCAGATTCATATAGAGTTTCTACAGCCTGGCCGACTACCAAAGTAATAATGTCTTCTGCAATGAATGATTTAGAAACCCTTTGAAGCAATCAACAACCAGATGCATAATGTCTCCAAGTTCATAGTTTTTCATTTTGGGAAATCTCAAGAGTTACATGAGAAGCTAGTCTGGCCCTGTCCAAAGATATTTTGGCTTTGTGCGGAATATTTCTTGGTCAGGGCCAGTAACTTTCTTAAGTTTCTGCAAGTCATCTGGCCATGAATCAGTCTAGCACATAGCCTGATGTAAAACTGCAAATTCTTGTTTATACATTATATACACATACATTTTTATACAGATTAAACAAACAAAATATGACATGTTAATTAGTGAGCTTTTATTATCTTTGAACGGAGCCAGGCTAGCTCATTCCTTGGGTTTCCAGCAGGTTTCCAGTCTTCATGCTAAGCTAAACCATGCTAATCAATTGCTGGCTGCAGAATCATATTTACTGTACAGATGTGAGAGTGGCACCAATCTTGTCAACCAACTCTGAATAAGAGTATAAAACTATTCCCTTAGACAAAATTGGCCCTCTGGTGTAGCACACACACAATTTTGGTGTATGCAAATTTGACCCTTAGATACAATGTCCTCATCAAGCCAATCAGTGTATTTTTTAGATGCATGAACAAAGAGCCAAATTGCATCGTTCCGCCCAAACTATTGCAATGTTAGATTTTTTATTATGTTTTGCGGCTTGGATTTACTGGGAAGGAGCCAGGACCTTTCACAGATGGGATGTTTACCATTTTTAGCACCCCATTAGGCTTATCAATACAATTTTTGGAAATGTCAGAAGACAATAAAATGCCCCATTCCTCTAAGCCTTGTCAGAGTGACATCAGTGGCGTCAGTGATTTCACATTGAACAGCCAGACAGATTTTATTATGTAGAGGACAAGGACACCTGAAGGTTAAACCCTGACTCAGACACTCACATAAGCTCTCCCCAAAAAGCACAAACATCTCCCCCTTCTGAGCCTGGTGCCCTCAGACGCTGACTCACACACTATTGATTTGTGCTTGATGGACACAAAGCCCAGTGTTCTATCTCCAGGTGTTCCCATATAGTGTCTTTATAATCAGTGAGAAAAGCAAGGCACTGTCATATATAGAAAGACCTCTTGTAGCAAGTTTGCTCATGAATATAATCAAATCTAAAATTGTAAATGAAATTACTTCAAAATCTTGTTTACTTCATTTAGCAATAGTCAACATTAAGAGTTCTTGTTAATAGTCTTTTGGGCTGCCCAGTATCAGCTCTGACAGTCTGACAGATGTACCACCCAGGGAATGATTATTCTGCCTTTTCATGCGCTGTGTGATTGATCCTTCTCATGTGAAAGACACCGTGAGCTAATTCAGTAAGGACTTTTTTGTGATAGTTCCCCTTATTATTCAAATTAGATTCAGGCTCTGCTCTCATCCACCCTGATAAGAATTTTTTATGACCACCAGCTGGTCTTTTGCAATGAAGTGTACTCCTCCATCCACGTCAGCAGCATTATAGTCTATATTAGAGCAAGGTGTTGCAGGCCTTGCACGGTTGGTTGTACAATTATGTCATACCAACTGGTAAATTAACACTTTTTTTGCTTGCTTTTTTGTAGAATGTTTCATAAATTAGCATTTTCTTTTTGTTTTGTTTGTTGAACACGCGATTTTAAAAAGGAAAATTACATGGTTGCAACACCAATGGACATGCACCATTGAAAGAGCATCAAGGAAAACACAAAAAAGTCACAGGACTTATTTCCATTGTGGTCCGTGTGTGTGTGCATACTACAGGTTATAATACAGCTCCAGTATTTGCTACATTCTTCTGCCATTTGTACATCTGAAGGATTACAAAGCAGATCTAACTCTGAAAGTAGATTATAAAACATATGACACGGTAATAGAAGGGTAATTGAATGATCTACACTCAGTTAAACTCATTTTTTATTTTCATAAATCAAACCCTTAATGGCTGATGATCAATTCTTATTAATGATGCGTGTGACTTTTGTGCCCTTTCAGAGATCATTTTCACTGACCAATTTTCGTTGCATTAGAGACAATATGAGAGAAGCAGGAGCGCAGACAGGCAGAGAGAAAGATTATCAATCAGCAGGAAGAGGTTAAATACAGGATACAAGCCATTTACATGAATCAAAAACTCATTTGCCAAATGTCAGTTGGATGTTGGAGTTGACGTAATGTAAATGTCATCCAACTTCAGGTTACCTGTTGTGATGTATTACCACAAGGTTGTGCGAGGAGCATTTCCGCCTCTCCCATTCTACCCTACTGTTTTTGCAGGATCTGCTTTGTTTTAGAAAATAAACCCACTGTCTTGCTTATTTGAAATTATTTTCTGTTTAATTCTTACTGAACTGCAAGTACAATGAAACTCTCTCCTTCCTCAAGGATAGGGCTGTACAATAAAACAATAACAATAATTAACACAATATAATTTTTTTTCAATAACAATATAACAAATGTTCAATAAATATTCAATAAATGATCTTATTCACTTCAATCAAACTTGAATTAGGACTATTTTTTTATGAAGATGTTTATTTTGTTGAGGAAAAAGGACTGAAAAAAAGCTTTTAGTTAATTTTACTCATTTTGTACTCATTATCAATTTTACGCATCAAGTGTTTGCTCTGACCATAAAGAATAGGTTAAACCATAATTAACCATCAGGTTTCTTCAACTTTAACTCATGAGCAAAAATCAGACTTTAAACTCAAAAGAAAGAACGGTTTGATAGTTATTGTGATAATTATTGATATCGAAAGATATAAAACTTTTTATCGTGATAAGAGTTTTGGCCATATTGTCCAGCCCTACACTCTAAGAAATATCTATTTATTAACAGTTGTATGCCTGTATATTTTTACAGAAATTGTCCATAGAACATGATTTACGGGTGTATTTCTGTTTATTTACGTTTCGAATTGCATTATGGGACTTTGATCTCTGCTCCAACGACTGCCGCGGCCGGGAGACGGACGTTAAACTGTTAAGATGAACGTCAAAAAAGAATTTGCAACTTCAGCGGTAAGTAATTTTTTGGAAAAATGTACGTTATCCAAGTGACTGTTTTATTTGCAGTAGTTTTAAATGTTATATTGCCTGGGTTCATTGTGTGCAGCATAACGTTATAACGTTACCGTTTTGAATTTCCCTTTGCTATGGCTAACGTTAGCTAACTTAACGTTCATGAGCTACTGTTAGAAACTAGCGCTTAGTTAGGGAGATTAAAGAGCCGTCTTTTTCTCAGAAGATCTAAAACTGACCAGGTTTGTGTGAGTTTTGTTTTTGTAATATTAGGTCAGGGCAAAATATCATCCATTATTTGGTTATGTTCCCCTTCTCCATTCTTTGTGGCAGAGGGTCTTTACGGAACTATTCAGTATTTTTATTTGGAGCGGGAGTTTGACTGCTGTTAAAAAAAACAAAACGCCCTGTCTCCTCTGAATGTGAACGATTTGGCTGTGAACGAGCAAAAACTTCATCTCCAACTCCACTTTGCGTGTAATAGGTAATTTTGAAATGTCATGGAAGTTAATGTTAATGTTTTCTTGGTATTGTAAGTAGCAAACGTTAACAGTTAATAGTCCGGCCGTGGTTAAGACGTTGTTAGTTAATGTTAACATGTTGATGTGCGACATTAGTGGTGTCTTTTTTGGGGCTGAACGTTTAATGAGGGCTCTCTTTTAAAGTAATTCTGGGTCATTTTGAGTGAGCGAAAACTCTAATCCAACATTCACGTTGGTTAGTAAGGTTAAATTAACTGTTGCTTGCTGCAGGCAGGTCTGCCGTATGTGTGTGTGACTGTTTAAGCTGGGTGAACGATGAGGGAGGGGGACAGAATCGGCAGTTCATTGTATGTTAATCTCTTTTCTCCCGGGCGTCGATCCTGTCGTTATTTAGAGTTTAATTTTTTGATGACTTAAATCACGGCAAATATATGGGCAGATATTAACTGAGACATCGCACAACTGATAACTTATCAAGCAAAGGCGCTTGTCTGTACCCTATTTCCGTTTCAGCGTTGCAGCCTTTGAAATAAAAGCTGGCCTCACAATAAGACAATCAGCTCGAGTGCTGGCATACAGTGACAGTCTCGTGCTTTTATTTTGAAGGATATTCGGATACTTTGATAGAGTTTTACGTTTTTAGAGTTAGTTTTAAAAATATATATAGTATATTTTGTTGACTTCAAAGGCTGCATACATACTTTAACATTTAGTGTGTTATTTGTGTGGTGATGGCGCATAGATAAGGTGCTTGCCTTTGGTGGGGGTGACCTGGGTTCGATTCCCGCTGTGAGACATCCACCATTGTGTCCCTGAGCAGGACACTTAACCATATGCTCCATAGGCGTGCAACCTCTGACATTGGATAAAAGCGTCAGATAAATGTTATTATTTCTTGTGGAGTGAGTGCTAGGCTATTTTACAGAAGATAGTTAGCTAATGCCAGCTGCAACAATTGTGTTCCCAGCTGTCTAGGGCACAAGCGATTTCGGAGCTGGCTCATAGGAGGCGATTTAATGAGACCAGTCAATCACTCACAGTCCACATCAGTCGCGGACAAAATGTAGCCAATAGAAATGTTGGGGGAGGGGAAAAAAGCTGCTGGAGGCCGGAGCAGAAAAGTGCCTCAATATTACAGACTTTTGTTTGTGCTGCTGTTACTTGAGATAGAGAGAGAGAAAATATGGTGGATAAAATAGTTCTGTTTGGGTTTTACACATGACGCATAGCTTCCTCTGTATGTAGGTTTACCTGCTTCAACAACGTGCTGCTCTCGTGTTACTGCCACAATATTTCTTTGCGTTGTGAAGATTATTTAGATGCTTCAGGAATAATCAGATTGTTTTGGCAGCCTGTGCTACTGCAAAGCAAGCGGTTTGGTTGGCTACATCTCCATAATAAATGGCAGAGGTACCAAAAGTTGGCTGTGCAGCAAAAGTGATATTTTAAAGTGATCTTATCAACTCCTTCATGGAGATTTAAAAAGGAAAATAATTGTATTAATAGCTAAATTAGAGATAATCAGCTTCTTCACTACATTTGCAGCAATATTTTAATGTGCTACCTAAAAAAATAAACTCATCAAGTTGCCTAGTCTAGACATTTTTACTCTGATTGCCTATCTTGACCTTTACTCATGTGGACACATAGGGGCTGTGATCCTGCACAACAAAACATGAAAGAATAAAATCACCACACTACCATGGATAATAGTGGTGCAACGGGTTGCAGAATCTGTGGTATGGATCCTTTCCACACGGTGCGGCACGCAGGTGGACCACGGATTGATTACAAAGTTTATGATGATTTATCCTGTTAGACCTCTCAAAATATTCTTTTATTCTGGAAAAGTCATAGAACCCAGATAGATTCTGAATGTGCAGAACTTTGAACATGAGCAGAAAACTGCTGAAACACAGGAGCTATTAAAGTCCAGGAGTTTATAACTGAATTAAAATGATTTAATTTATTATTGATGAGGTATAAATGTACCACATGCACATTTAAAGAGGTTACCTCAATCAGTCACGTCTGCCTGTGTGTTGATTCGGCAGTGATGATATTAAAAGTTGATCTATAGGAGAAACATATCTGAAAGCTGAGAGCTGCTCTGCATTATATTCTGTTACAGTTTTAGATTTTAGATTGTTTTATGTTCTTAAATATTCACCACAATTGAGCAACACCTGAATTTCGTGTGTCCATTTACATAAATAATTTCCACAATAAATTGATGCAGAAAAGGCAGAAATTGGTGCAGAAAAACACCAGAATGCAGGAAATTAAGTGTTTCAAACTCGCAATTTTCTGGGGGACTACCCCCTGACCCACCTGTTCATACTGTAGCAGTTTTGTTGTTATATTATTATAATTAGACACATGACATTACAATTTAGCAACATCAAAATGAGACAGTTAATAGTGTTGTTGTGAGTTTTGTTGTGCTGTATAAGTTGAGGATGTTTACTGTTGCTTTACTGCTTTACAGACTTAACTTTAGGGTGGTGGGGGTCAATTATTATGTGAAGATATGAAGTTTTATGGGCTGGGCTAAGCCCCCAATGTTTCATGGTCCTAAAAACGCCCCTGATGTCAGCGATGATCAGTAATACTGTTTTCTATTTCTTTTACAGCCTTCATCTTACCTGAAGACAAGAAACCCCCCGCCCCAATCCCTGTTCCACTGACAAAACCCTTGCACATTTTCCCCTTGCACATTTTCCAATAATTTATTCAGTGGATGTGATTGTTGTAATGTGGCATGAATTAGCAGACTGGGAACAATTTAGAGATGACAAATTATAATACTTTTTCCTTTATGTTTTAGTTTTCATGGAATTGTTGTAGATCTATAAGTAAATAAAAAACATTTTTTAAATCACACAAGATTTGTTTGGATTGTTTTCAAAAGAGTTATTATAGATACACTGTTAACAAACAGAAAAGTAACATTTCTGTTTGCTGTATATTGACTTAATCCATCTGTTTTATTTTTACTGTAGGAAAACCATAAATTAACAGAAAAGTTTCATTTTTTAATTACGGGACAAAGTCTGGGTAATGAGCTGCCAGTCCATTTTCTGTTATTTTACGGATTTATTTAACATTCGTGTTTTTTTACTATAGATACACCATTAAATGACAGAAAGCATCCTGTTTTTTACTATAGATACACCATTAAATGACAGAAAGCATCCTGTTTTTTACTATAGATACACCATTAAATGACAGAAAGCATCCTGTTTTTTACTATAGATACACCATTAAATGACAGAAAGTGTCCTGTTTTTTACTATAGACACACCATTATATAACAGAAGATTTCCGTGTTATTTACTGTGGGCACACTGAATTAACAGAAATGTTTCATTTTTTAATTACGGGACAAAGTCCGGGTAATGAGCTGCCAGTACTTTTTCTGTTATTTTACAGATTTATTTCTTAGAGTGTACTCAAGGAATAAATGCCTGCGGCTATAGTCATACAGTCATAACTGTATGATTAAAACTTGTAATTAAAATGATTCTGCATTGGAAAACGGGCGAAAAGAAACAAGATCATACAAGTCTACAGCCATGCTAGCTACTCTGTGAGGCTGTACTAACTGCTAGCTAGCATACTTAGCTAACGTCAGTATGCTTCTTACTTTGTGTGTGTGTTAGCATGCTAATATTTGCTAATTAGCTCTAATCCCAGGCCAGCTGAGGCTGATAGGGAAATTATTAGTTTTGTAGCTATTTGGTCATAAATTTAGGACCCATTTTGTTTTCCTTGTATCTGCTTCCCCTTGGACATATTATCCATAAACATGGTATTTCTTTTCATATTTATGCTGATGACGTACAAATATACTTGCCCGTCAGATCCACAGACACTGGAATGCTGAGTTCACTTAACAACTGCCTTTGTGAAGTTAAAAAACGGATGTCAAATAATTTCCTTCAGCTGAACTCAGACAAAACAAATGCTGGTCATTGGGTCACAGGCTTAATGTGATTTACTAGGGAACCAGCAGATGGCAAATCAAATACTGCCATTTGCTGGTTCCCTAGTACATCACATTAAGCCTGTGGCAAAGAACCTTGGTGTTTGGTTTGATAGTAATTTAAATTTCGAGCAGCACACCACAAAGCTTGTTCAATCATGTTTTTATCAACTTAGAAATATAGCAAAAATTCGATCTATGTTAACTTTTAAGGACACCGAGACCATTTTACACGCCTTCATCTCATCACGCCTGGATTATTGCAACAGCCTTTTCACCTGTTTAACCCAAAAATCTATTGATCGACTCCAGACTGTCCAGAACTCAGCTGCCAGGCTTTTAACCAGATCAAAGAAATATGACCACATTACTCCTATTTTAGCTTCATTACACTGGCTCCCAGTATGTTTTAGAATTGACTTTAAAATTCTATTGATCACTTTTAAAGCTCTTCATGGCCTCTCACCTTGTTATATTTCTGAACTTTTAGTCCCATACACACCAGCACGTACCTTGAGATCCTCGGGCAGAGGTCTGTTGTCTGTTCCAGAGTCTCGACTGAAAACTAAAGGGGACAGAGCGTTTGCTGTCAGGGCCCCGAGGCTCTGGAACAGCCTGCCCGAGGAAATCAGGTCAGCTGAGTCAGTGAACTCTTTTAAGTCCCTTCTTAAAACATACTTTTATAGGAGAGCCTTTCCTGATCTTATTTGACTTTATTTTATCCCTTTTATTTTATTCTATTTTACTAATTTTACATTTATCTTAAACGTGTATTTTAGTCTTTTCTTTTCTTTATCTTGTATTGTTTTTGTATTATTGTTGTAGGGTATTATTGTTTTTTGGGTATTATTGTCTTTACACTTGTTAAAGCACTTTGTAACTTGTTTTTGAAAAGTGCTCTACAAATAAAGATTATTATTATTATTATTATTATTATTATTATTATTATTATTATTATTATTATTATTATTATTATTATTATAATAAACCAAAGTAGCTATTGGACAATTCATTCATAAAAAGCATTAATTGAGATAAAGTTGTCACAATAAAACAAAATGTGTACCTACACAAACTAAATTATGTAGATTTGTTCTGTCATGCACAAGATAAGAGTGGCAGTAGATAAACTTTCAACCAACCACTTTGTAGTCACAGCACAGTAACTTTCCTCTCTCTCTCATCTCCTGCAGCCATGCCCTTCATCATCTCCATGCTGCTGGCCAGCCTCAACAGTTGCTGTAACCCCTGGATCTACATGTGCTTTGCAGGGCATCTGTTCCAGGATCTTAGGCAGAACTTTCTGTGCTGTTCCACTCACTACCTCAAGTCATCCCAGTGCCGCTGTGAGCGTGACTTTGACTCCAGTCACAAGAGCAACTCCTCAACCTTTGTCATTAAGAGCACCAGCAGTCAGAGGAGCATCACACAGACTTCCACCACATGAGCACCCTTCCCTCTCCCAAGCTGCTCACCCTGCCTTTCACCATAAGCCGTCGCCCATTAAATACCCAGAAGTTCAGTTCGTTCAGATACCTCTTGTCCTGAGGCTTGTTGTTGAAGCCCAGAAGGGAAAAAACAACAAAAGTCTTAATTATTTTATTTACAGCACTTTACAGTGGAAAGTGGAAATGGAATTGTGAAATACAGAATATTATTAAAAGCACGATATTAAACTTACGAGATAATCATGGACCAAGCTGAGCGATCAGCTGTTTTATAAGTACAGTGTATATTTGCGTATTTGCAGTGCAGAGAAAGTAAAGGAAAGGAGGGTATTTCAATTGTTTTTTAAACAACCTTGGCCAGCCGCTCTATTGACTGAGTTGTTGTCACCAGCAAAGCTTGTGGATCCTGTTGGTCTATGTTATGATGAAATTGCTCACCTGCTAAAAATATTGTGTACGATGTGTTCACTTTGTTACATTTGCAGTGGATTGCCTACATGTAAACTGTTACTTGAGATATTATTATATGTGAAATGTTATGGCTGTCGCTGGTAAAGATTTTCAAAAAGTTTAGAAAATAAATAAAGAATGAATGCAGCAAAAATGCACTGACGTCTTTATTCTTAAAACCTAGCTGATACTCATTACCAAAAATGATTGACGAAATACTTCGCACCCTTGCTGGAAATATTCTAGATGGATGTTTGCCCATGCTGAATCAATAAGGTCAATGAGTTCCTGCAACTTTCTGGCAGCACTTTATATTTCTGGACTTGTCTTACGGCAGCAATTGCTCTGTGACATGGTGCATTATCCTGCAAGAAGTGACAACAAATGTAAACTGTGGCAATGAATTCACTCTAGCGTTCTTTGTTGCAACGCTGATTAAGTTTGAGTCTGTTGTTTAGTCAGTTGTGTTTATATTCATCTAAAATTGTTCAAGATTATGAGCAATCTAAGATGTGAACCATTTCTTATTTTAATTACAGCACTTCAGCTATCATTTGCCAATAATGAGAAGTGATCTGAATATTTTAATAAAGCTACAACGAATTGGCCAGAAAGAAACACTGAGGGAAGGAACAAAGACGGGTGTGGTGACACTGAATCATCAACAATAATGGATCTCAGACACAAAAGAAAAGCACATGAAAGATTCACAACAGCAAACCTGTCGTTCCAGGCTGACTGAAGTTATCAAAAATATTACTGAAACATGGTGAAGATATTTAATGAATCGTAAAAATGTATTTCTGGATCCTCTCAGAATGATTTGAAATAATACACATACTATATTTTCAAATAAAAAACACTGAACTAGGAGAGTTTCATCTATTGTGAAGTGTACTTTCAGCCCATGTATAATTTGATTTTCTACACTGCAGATGCACAATAGCAGCAAAGGTATTGGACTTTCCTACATAATCAAAATAACACAGTGGAAGAATAAAACGGATCTCACTAAGATGTTTTTACTTTACTCCATCAGTAATTAGGTCCATACTTGTTTACACATTCTTGACTGAAATATGCAAACAAGTAGGCTTAATATTCTACTCATCATGCTTTGATAAAAGGAAGTAGATTATCTGCATGGTTGGTTCCAAAACGTCTGGTAGTTACAGTGGAGTCATCACAAATTTAGAGGGAAACATACCAGAATACATTTTTCGAATACATAAAGAAATCAGACAAAATGATTATGCAGAGAAAACTTTCCATTCCTTTCTTTTAGTTAGAGCTTTTCTAATAAGGTTAAGATTGTCAAATTCAATTCAATCAATATAAAGTTAAACAATACCAGACACAGCAACATAGAGCATCAATATAACTTTTAAGCATGGCCAAATGTCATGCATACAGGCGGCATTGTCCAGAGGTGCAGCAGTTTTGGGGAGTTTGTTTCATTCGTTGCGAATGTTATTGTCTGAGCTTTTTGGGATACAAAGAAATGAGGGCAGACAGATCCTCCTCATGGCAGGCGGCCCTCTTCTCCCTCAGTGAGGAGCGCCGAGCCCTCCAGGAGTGCCAGAACTGTCATGGAACCATCCTGTCTGCTGCAGCTGTCACAGAGCTTCTGGTGGCAAACAGCAAACAGGGTATGTCAGGACTCAGGACTGAGAGCTGAGAGCTTGAGGGTGGGAGGGTTTGGGAACGGCATCTTATGAAGGGAGGAGGAGGAGTATTATGGAGTAAGCAAGATGCCCAGACTGAGCTTCTGGTGTATAAAAAGATACCGCACTTCATCCGATCATACTACAAACACTACTGTGTAAGTTCTTAGACTTCTTTGCGCAGTGCAACGCGCACACTGCTGAAGATCTTGCCCAGGGCTTCGAAGAAGGGATCACAGAAGGTCTGGATGCAGAGAGAGTAGATGCGGCTGACGCACTGTGACTCAATCAGACAGCTCTTGATGCAGGGAACCACAGCCCAGATGTGGCAGAAGGAGATGCATGCGAACAGGAAGCCCCAGAGTAGAGCAACAGGGATGCCGAAGACAGCAGACAGGATGCGGTAGCACCAGTACTTGGACACAGTGAAGGTGGTGTAGCTGAGCTTCCACACCCCATCCAGGCTGTGTGTACCGTCGGGCTCTGCAATGACATCCTCAAACTCCACCTAAAAGAACATTTAAAAAGAGGCTTGCATTAATACACATTCCTGAGTGCATGCAGCTTTCACCCATCTCCCTCCACCACCAGACCTCTGTGGGCTCCAAGCACATGCCAATGTTAAGTTAAAGATTATGCTTGTGAATGCTGCAAAGTGTTAGGGTCAAATTTATGCAGAGAAACCAATTATCTGTTGCACTTCATGGAATAAAAAATAAATAAAACTTAATGTAGTGGCATGCAGGCAAAGTTATGGAGTGGCTTTTAATGCTAGGTCCAAATCATTCTAATAGCTCTTTTGCAACACGTTTGTTAGTTCCTGAAGTTCACCTCATGTTAAATGCATGAGAGCAACTGTACAATGGTCCAATTTGTTTCCAGTTTTCAATATGTGCCACCTGGACTTGTGGACGCTGTTGCATTCTGAGCTGTGACATGTTAATTAACTTGTCTGTAATCATGGCAGGCAGAAAAGCCGCACATCTAACACGCCTTTCTTTTCTTCCTGACCATCAGATAGGATCAGTATGGGAAGTAACAAGTCGCTGTCTGTTTCCCGCAGAGATAGCAGCCTGAGATCATCCTCTGAATGAATTGCTGGTCATGCACTGTTTTATATTTTCTCTGCAAGGTCTGACTTCTTTCCGCTTTTAGAGAGCTCGTAATAGAGTCAAATTCAGCAAAAGAACAACCAGTGCTCTTTAGAAACAGCTGATGGACACACATGGGGCTCCAAAGCTTGTAAATGTGATTAGTCAGAAGATAAGATTCCCAGGATAATTTGAGATACTGTTTCAATAGATATTACAGATTCACTTTATTTTAATTGAAATGCAAAGACAGCATAAGAATTGGAAACATTAGCAGGAAATGACTGCATGGATTGGAATTGTAACAGCTAATTTATAACTTTGTATTGTAATTGTAACTCCTATCATAGACCTGACTATTGGGAGTAACTGTAACAAAACCTTCAGTTTAAAAATACATAATCTTTACCTTGATGTCTGAAAGCAGACATAAGCAGAAGGTAAATCATTCCAAACTGAGCCATGCAGACACTAAACATTATGCTCTACTTATAACCCTCGATTTACCAACTTCAGTGACCATGTTTACATGAACTCCTTCCAGTCAAACAAAATATAATCTAAATTTATATTCAGTCCTGTCCTGGCAGAAAATATTTTGTCTTAATAACATGGAAACAATTGCAGGATAAACAGTAGTCAACGCCAGTGTATCAGTTTCACACTCTTCTACCCCATTCCCAAAATAAACTTCATGTTCTGCTCAGGCAACAGGAATAGCTCTTGGTCTATTTAAGGATTTTCCAGACAGAACCTAACCTGTCCTCCTGTCTTTATTCCTACTAACCACTTTATTCATTTTTTCTACACATGCCAAGATAGGGGTTATGGTCTTAATCCTTTCTGTGTCAGGGTGCTGTCTCCATGCTGCACAAACCTTCACCACGTCCTCATTGATCTGCTTGGGGTCTCTATTAATTAGATCTATCTCCTTGGTGTGGCTGTCCTTCACAATCTTCTCCTCTTTGGCATTGTACTGGTACTGATCCGCCATGGTGGGGCTGCAGGTCCTGGACAGGCCGGAGACGATGAGAGTAAACCTTCCTGGATCAAACGCCACAGACCACTTCTGAACCCCTGTATCACCACTGTGACTCTCCCTCTGGCATGCCAGTGGACAGCTGCTGCGGACGTACTGGTAAAAATGGAGGCCTAATCCCCACCCTGCACCCACACACAGACAGTGTACACACATTCACATACACACACACACACACACACACACACACACACACACACACACACACAATATAACGCACATAGACAGAAAAGGCATGCCTTAAAGGAGAACCCAGGGTTGTGTCACATTTCACATAGGGTTGTCGGGCTAACTGGGCAGGGTTTGCATAGTGGCACGAACTTCCACCACTGAGTGAGTCCACAAGCAAAAAAAACACACCCTCCTGCTCTGGCTTTAGTTGTGACACCGTGTTTTGTGTCCTAACACTGAATTTAATTTAAAAAGAAAAACTTTCCAATGTGTTTGCAGCTATATTGGGCAACAGAAGAGACAAACAAAGACAAAAAGTAGACTCTACATGGAGTAGTCATTCTCAGGTGCAGAGAAATGTAATTATCAGAGATTTGCCTATATTGCATGCTAAATGAGTTTGCAAATGGTAATGTTTCTTTGCAGATGCAATGTCCCAAAACATGTAAGACACAAGACCTGTGTGGTCATTAAAAAATCTAAAGATACTAAATTACTGAATTATAAAATTTGACTTGCTGTTCAAATCAGCATGTTTACTTTCACAAACACAATCATTACTGTTAAGTGGTTTAGTCACTTAAATGTTTCACAGTCTTAGTGGTGCACAATAGAGATAAGACAGATCCGGAGCCTCTCATTCCAAATATTTCTGATTTTAACGAGGCCCAACACATAAAATTCAATAGACCCCCAAAATAAAACTCTGATTCAGTCTTCCTTAAGCTGTGCAGTTGTTGCTATCAGTCATAGCGTTCTATATCAGCATGTTGCATAAACAAACTCCAAAGAAAGGGGGAAGAGGAGGAGGTGCCTATGAAAACTAGTACAAGGACTTAGCGCACCCTGAGCTCTCTGTTGCTATTTATCTCTGTCAGTGGGGTGTACGAACAGTACAGGAAGCGTGACTTTGGCGCGTGGATTGGTCTGCCCTGGTTCCCTTGTGGCAGAGACAGGGACGAGGTGGGAGGGGAGGAATGGAATCAGTGTGCATGTGATCAAGATCCAGACCAATTAGAGGAGTATTCTTGTCATGGCAAAGGAGAGAGTGGAGGCCAGTTAGGCATGGAGGCAGAGGGACAGGAATAGCTCAGCAGAGAGTCATGGTGGGCATACCTCTGCCTCTGTGCATGTCAATGCAGTCAGCTGAGATTTCACCAGCTCCTGTCTTTCATTTAATGTAGACTGACATGCAGGATTCTCTGATCTATATTTAGTGTTATATAGAATGGATCATATATCAGTAACTCAGGTTACTTTACACATATCAATGTATATATATATATATGTACAGTGTTTGTGTTACAGGATTTTAAATGTACCTTTTTTCATTAAATCCTCAATGGTGTCCAGGCCTAACCTCCAAACATCTGTAAATTAAAGAAATTCTTCCACATTTAGGGAAATATACTTATTAGCTTTATATGTAAAGAGTTAAATGAGAAGGCTGACACCACTTTCATGTCAGTTCATTATCATGCTATACAGCCAGCTGCCAGTTAGCTTAGTACAGCAGGAACCAAATCTGCTTACTAGCACGTCTGAAGCCCATTAATTATATTTTGTTTGTTTAATCCATAATAAAAACTGTGTAGAACATTATGGGAGATTATGTGTGTTGTCATCACAGTGTTTATGCTAAACTAAGCGAACCAGCTGCTGGCTGTAGCTTCATATTCACCATAGACATGAGAGTGGTTTTGAGCTTCTCATCTAACTCTTTTAATAAGTGTATTTCCCAAAATGGTAATGTATTCCTTTAAGTGCCTCACCTGTGCTTGATCAGAGTGACCAAATATTGTTAACAGCCAGTACACACTTTACTCTTTCTAAAATCAAACTAATGTAAATATTTTACTAGGAGAACGCATTGTTTTGTTGTCTTTAAACATTGTCATGCCCAGTTGACTTATTTTAGTTATGCTATATAAAGCACTAGCAAAAGTGCTACATAATGTAAATAAAGACACTGTAACTATAGACTTTTTTTTTTAAATGTCCTGCACGGTGTCGTTGCTGCCTTCGTGTGAACTGGATGATTTTCATATAAAGACGGTTTTGCAATTTTTTTATTGTTTTATTTTGGTCTAAGGCTCCTGGTAATTAACATCTTTTACATCCCTAATACACAATAATGTTGCAATCGTCAATAATATGGGACAACAAATGTTTTAACTGAATTCAACAAATATACACACTTCCAGAGATTGTTAGAGTTGGTTTCTTTTTGTTCTCTGAGTTTAGATCATTTTGTAATTTAATTGCAATGGTCTGCAGAAATATTCTGTAATTGTGCCTTAAATAGTCATAGCACTATTTGCCCCACATATTCTATCAACACATGCGTTTTTAGGTCCTGGCTTGAAGTTCTATGCATCATACATCAACATCATTACACAAGGGACAACTTGACATGTACAGTATGTCAGCATGCCAAATATCATGACAGGTGAGCAAAAATACAAAATAATCATAAACAATTACGATGCTGATTATAATTTTCCAATAAGAAATTAGTATGAAATCTGTTACAACTTGCTTTTTCTCTCTATCCTCTGTTTTAACAGAACATTCACACACGGTGTGTTTTTCTATCTGTCTTCATCTTTTGCCAGATGGATGGTGACTTGACCACAGCACTTTCCAACACTGGTAAAGACGGGGCCGATGAAAATGTTCAGTATGCTGCCCCACACAGTCTGGACCCAGCTCATGTTGATGAGAAGGAGCTGCACACAGGGCATGATCAACCTGGTGAGACACAGGGAAGTGGACAAAACATGAGCTCATCTCATTAAAAAAAACACACCTAAAAAGGTTTCCCACCGGGGGGAAATAACCTGTAGTAGGGGAATGGTATAGTTATCATTTCTTATTCAACTGTCTTCTAAATGACCATTATTTACCAGAAAAGTCTGTCAAATCTCAGTTTAACAGTCCTACCAGATGTGAAGGCAGCTGAGCATGGCAAAGAGGAGCCCTGCTGCCAGTGAGACCGGCACAGCCAGAAGGAGGGAGATGATACGGTAGCACCACAGTCTGGATACCTCAAACAGGGCGTGACTCCACAGCCACACTTGATCAAAGCTCCGCACCGAGGGAGGCTCTGCAATCACATCCTCAAACGTGACCTCAAGACACACACAGAGACACAGATTTCAAGGGAAAGTGTGTACAATTTAATAGGTACTGAGAACTTGGGGCTTGGAGATGTAGGCGTGGAAGCTGTATGTATGATCAAATCTTGACATGCAGAATGAGAATTATGGGTAATGTACACAAATTAACTGCACTGAGTAATTTTTAATGGCAGACCGTAATTTTTTGTTGTACTTGTTGGCAAGGGCAAAAATAGAAATGTGTGTATGATCATATCCACTTGAGGTCAGTATTATGCAGCATATTGATAGAGAAGTCTTTGGTTTAGATAAACAGCTTTACTAAACAAAAAGCTTCACAGATGAAGTTTTATCTGTAAACTGATTCTTCCTCATCATCATGAATCATCTCCAGAAAATTCAATTTATCACTAGAACCACACATAGATTTCTGCTTCAGTTCAGCATTGCATGTTACATCTATTTCAATAGAGATAGGAGGAGTGGTATGCAGAGCATGTGCAGCTGGTTTATTTATTTTACTGGTCTGTCTCTGTTTCTCCAGAGGGAAATGACATACCTCATCGTGTGACTTCTGCTGTGTGTTCTCTGTTAAGGTGTGTTTTATGTTGATTAAATCCCTGTGACAGTGCACATTAGTTACCTTAAGACTCTTGTTGATTCTTTTGGGATCCCTGTCTTGAATCAGAGGCCTTGTGTCACTGTGGGTGGAATTCAGATCTTCGGATTGTACATCCACTTTGACTTCCATTAATTCCGATGCTGGTCTCTTGTTTTTTGATCCCTGGTCCTCCATTTCCACTAAGCTGAGCTGTGTCTCGGTTTGGTTGACTGCTGCAGTCATGTCTTTGGAAATTTGGAGGATGAGCTGGGCGTAGCAGGAGGATGGCTTACGATGCTCCAAACTCTGCAGGCTTGTCAGTGACACCCAGGTGGAACATAGTGGAGTGCTTATTGCCTTGCTTCTTGTTGAGGAATGCCAATATTGGCTTTTAAATGCTTGTGTTCAGTGACATTTTCCATGTGACACATTACATGGAAAGTCTCATTTAGACCTGCATGTGAAATGTCCAATGGTCTTAGCTAATAGCATTAAATCCACTCATCTTCCTCCTTACATATTAAAGCAGTGATGATGATCAGTGGTCAGTATTTTGACACTACATATCTCCTCCTCCTTGCAGCATTGGTCCATTATGACTTCTCTGCCAAGAGCTGTCCTCCCAACTGCCCATCCAAGCTGGAATTCTGCTCCCCCGCTGACAGTCTCTGTCCTGACTACAGTAACTGACTGTAGTCCCACTCATGTGTTAGTGTCGAGCGTGGCACCTATCACACATACTGCCTATGTGTGGTCTGTGCACACTTTTCACCTCATCATTATCTAGTGCAGATTGTATAACTTGCAGTTTGTAAACTGTAGACAGTTTGCAGCAAAACTTAAACCTAGACTCTTCACAGTTCTCTCAGGAACTAATTGCTCTACAGAGCATGGGGCTGCAGGCTTTCATGCATTCATTTCATGCAAACCACTCAGTGTACTAAATACCTCTCAGTAGATTGGTCCCATGGTTGCTGCTCATGATACGTGTCAAACTGTCCACATGCACCTAGCGTAAGTAAATATAAATGTGTTGACCCTCCCCCCTCTGTGTGTGTACCGTTGCCTTCAAGTGCCATCAGATACAGAGCACACAGCAGACAAAATTTACTGAAAGGATAGCCCGCTGAGATGTAACATCTCATTTTCATACATGATTCTTACATTCAGTATTACCACCTTTGAAAAGTTGATATGAACTTGTTAGCAACCAGATGCTTATTTACACATCCAGCAGATACGCAGCAACATTATCAATTATTTGGAGTCGTGTGTCTGGCCACTTGATGAATGTAAGTCTATTTATTCACTCTCCTTTTAGCTCGGTTTTGCTCTCACCAGGCAGTATATTTTTGTAAAACTTGGAAAAACATAAGTAATGCACTAGGGAAAAAGCACAGATTTATCTTGCTCATACAGTAGTAATATACTTTAGGGAAAACAACATTGTTATATTCTTTCTTTCTTTCTTTCTTTCACAGCACACACATCTGTCAGCTTTCTTCTTGTCACAGACTTCCAAACGAAGCGGAGGAGGGGAATTCATTGGTATATAGCACACTCTGTTGGCCATGTTGTGTCTTAGTAGTTTTTAAAAAATAAATCCTCATTGTTTACCACTTATGGTTGAATCTGCTTCGTTTTCCACTCAAACATGCCCAAATAGCTATTTCTCTACACACTATTTGTGTGTCTGTGTGTGTGTAAACCATTGTGATTAAGGTGATTGAAGAGCCCTCAATATTGTGTTGTGATTGTGTGATTGCGGTCTGTGAATCCTCTACTTAACAGATGCAAATTTAGTTATGCTACATCTGGCTCATCTCCTGGTTTGTAAAATAATCATTTTAATCAAAAATTCTATCATAAATTGAATGAGACACATATCACAGTAAAACAGCTCATGTTGCCAATTTAGGCAATAAAGGCAACACAAAAGTACCACACCAAAATTAAAAACATCAAGTGTGCTTTATCCCATGGCTGCTGTCTGGCAGGGCTTCTTTAACCAACAGAAGACTAATGTAGAGTGCACTGATTTGTAGTGGTGGTTTGGCGAAATAAAAAACTTGAAATGTAATGAAAAGTAATGATGGCGATGTTACCTGTCTTGTGTAAGCAATACCGTGTATAAATCCCTGGACATCTGTACTTAAATGTCCAGACAAAGAGTAAAGGCGCACAGATCATAAATGCCAGCAACACAAATCCCAAAGCAAATTCTTTTGTGAAACTAACAAGACAGAAAGAAAGAAAGAAAGAAAGAAAAATTAAATACAACAGACACACACTGCATTTTCCACTTACCCACACACAACTTGATTAGATTTGAGGAGCGAAATCAAAGTGCCAAGCTCAAACAGTCACACCTGTCCTTCCAGATGTTTCTGGAACAACATGCTCGTGCCTGTCTAATCTTTTTAGTAAAAAATAATGTCTGAATTCAGACTGAAAATACAGAGCTGTGAATACCATGAATGGTGATGTGATGGAGAGTTATTCAGATGTCCTTCAGACAGATATCATGTTCATCCAGATTGTGTCCTAATTTGTGTTCACTGATGTTTAGCTTTACAAATACTGTATCAAGATCCTGTTGATGTTTTGCGCCATTTTTTTAATCATTGTATGGACACAAGGGTTCATGAAATTCAAATCTCGACGTGCACGTTGTAGATTTTTTTTTTTACTCTATATTGTCAACAGCAGTCTTAAAATATAAGATACCAGATAAATCACGTAAAATTTGCCTTGCTGGTCTTGCTATTTAATGGCTTGACATTTGTGAAGAGAAAATTAAATTAGACAAAGGGAGAATGAGTATAAAGAGAGAAACAGACTGATATAAAACAATGATAATAATACTAATATCCGTACATTTGTATGGATAAACAAGTCTCATAGCAGCACCCCTATCCTCCTGGGAAGAGAGCTAATGCTGTATTCACCTCAAAGTATTAAATACACACCCACAGTTTAGGAGTGGTGTTTGCCGTTATTTGCCTTAACGACACTGTTCTTTTTTTATTCGTCTTGTCTGCTGTTTGTGAAAGACTAATACAAACAGAGGAGGCCATAAAATAGCACTTTGTTACCACTCTCAGAGCATTATCAATGCCAGTAATGATTTCCATTGTAAATTCACTATCTCCGCCTCACTGTACCCATGTCACTATTATAGCAGTCCATATTCACAGGGACTGGTGCTACCTTACCCTCAACCTCAATTCATGTGTTAATGATCCTCCATCTTAACTTATAGGTCTCGTGTAGTCAGTCTGCAATTCTGCCTGAAAAGACATTTCTTTTCAGGCATGAGCCAGAATTTTTAGACTCGAAACAGGATTTAAAGCGGGAGCATACATCCAGCTGAAAGGTCCTCATTGCTATGTGAGTCACAGGCTTACTCAATTTCCATGACGACATGGGCGTATGACATTCACCATCTATCAGCATATCTGTTGCACACAGGAACTCTGAGGTATTGTCCCTCTGATTGATGAGCACTCCTCACACTGCGGAGGCCACTGTGTTAGTGCTGAAGCGATCATGTAATGATATGTGGGAGTCACACTATGCTGCTGTTTATCAAGTTGTTTCTTAGATATGCTGTAAAGGACCACAACAGTTACATCCAAAACTTTACAAAGTTCAACAGAGTCGGTCACCATTTGAATATACATATTGTTACTGACACTAATAATACATGTGGAACCAACTCATATTCATATTTAATACAAATTGTTCCTAATTAAACACAAGAAAAATATCCATCCAATCATGACCTTGTTATTGTAGTTACACTCCAGATTTTCACATTTATAAACATATAAAACATTTCTACAAACATCACTGAAACCAATTGTAATATGAATGGAAAATATGCACAGGGGAACAGTTATTACAATTTCAATAGTTCATGTTACAGTACAGCCATAGCACCTTGACCTAAAATGAGAAAGCCTACCTGAATTAGACAATAAAAGGCACTGGGCATTTCGGGTGTATTTAAAGGATAGGTTCACATTTTTTCAAGTCTGTCCCCCAACGCTTACATTAAAATTGCTTTAAGAATTGGTCTCTTTGTGACCAGAATGGAAGAATTACAGAAAACAATAATCCATCCAGTGTACATATGGGCATGTCAGTAGCCTTGTTTTAAGATAGACTTCCAGTGTGAACTTATCCGTTAAGAAAGAAATATCCGCTAAATATAAAAAACTTGGCCTCGGTGTTAACACTGTAGTCCTTAACTCATGCTGGTCAGTGCCTAAGCATGCTCCTCGGGTATTTGCCCAGGGATCTTTATCCCCTGGTCTGTAGTGTTTTTGGGACAGGAGTTGGACAGGGTTTCAGCTGTACTGCTGGTTCTCTGGATGAACTGGAGAAAGTTCTCCTGAAGGGAGCCCTCGTGGCTGGATGCCCCAAACTCCGCCGGCTGCGTGAAGCAGCAGCGTCGAAACTTTACCAGCTCTTCTCTGATCTGCCTGTTCAATAGGCCATAGAAGAATGGGTTAACTGCAAAGGAGGAGTAGGCCAGCCAGGTGACTGTTTCCTCTAAGTCCCCGGGGCTCTGCATGGAGCCAGTCAGAGACATTTGCAGGTGGAAGATGAAGTAGGGCAACCAACAAACCAAGAACTGGCCCACAATGAATACCAAGGTGATGGCAGCCTTGCCGCCACTGAAGGCCCTCTCTGGAGATAGTCTTTGAGGCAGAGTGCGGGTAGTGGTGATCATGGTGGTCTGGCTGTTGATGGAGTCCGAGCGATTCTTAGCAGGGCTCGCATTTGCCCACGTTGGCACAGCAGGGACTTGCTGCAGGGCTGCAGAACGAGCTACCTTGTACACGGCACAGTAAACAGCAAAGATAATCACTGCAGGAACTAGGAAACAGACCACACTGAAGAGCACAGCAAACACGCTTCTGAGACGACTGTGACTCGCATGGAGAGAGCAGTGAGCTGCAGCAATGGAGCTCTGATGTCCGTAAGCTGGCCATCCAAAGAGCGTGACCGAAGCTAAAATGACTGACTTAACCCAGATTAGGAGCATGACGCCAATAGCGAGGTTGATGGTCATCTTGACTTCATAACGCATGGGGTGTACGATATAAAAGTAACGCTCCACACTGATGGCTGTGATGGTGAGAATGGACAGACAGATGAGGAAAACATTGAGAAAGATGTAAACCTGACACTCCAGAACAGTAAACACCACGGTGCCAAAGAAGGGTGAGCTGGAAATGATACCCAAAGGCATGAGGAGGATGGCACACAGCAGGTCCACTGCACAAAGGTGACACACAAAAGCGAACCTCTTCAGGTGAGGAGCACGAGCAATGGCCACCATCACACCAGTGTTGGCCAATAAAGCAATGAGGTTAAGGGTCACCATGCAGAACAACCCAAACAGGTCTTTGATCTGTGACTGGGAGCTTGTGACGACGCCCACATTGGCAGGAACCGTAGGATCGGGCTGGTATAGTGCAGTGGTGAGATTTGTCACTGAGTGATTTGGCACAGAGACTATCATGGGACCGGTCTTGTCGGCCATTATTCATTCACAACTTCCTCCATTTGTATGTCAGATGTCTTCATATGTGGATATCCTGCATTGAAAAGACAGAAAACACTTACTGCTAAAAATTTTGAAGGCAGTTCAGACATTTTATGGGCATTTGTCTGTCATTTCCTGTAGATATAGTATGTTGTTTCCTCTACCTCTATCTAACATAGTTGAATACTGATGCAGGGCGTTGTCTAATTATTTAATATCTTATATTGCAATTCAATTTCTGCTGACTACTGTTTTCAAATTGGAAACGTAAACTGCTTACATCTTTTAAGCTTAAACAGATCAACATACACAAAGATACTTTGGAATAGTTAGCCTTGTTTATGTAAAATCAGTATTAGCCTTCTGGAGGGCTATTCTACATTGTTGTTAAAGATAAGAGTTGTGAGGACAATAAGCAATGACAAGCTTCAATATTCTGAGCTGCTGGTTATGGTTTTCCAGAGTGCATTTGTTTAAGGTCCAACCAACAGTCCAATGTATTTGATTAACATTCAATCTGTGAATTCTCTTTTCAGACACTCTCAAATGTTCCTTCTGTCAAAGTGCCAGGCACTGGCAAGTTGAAAGGCAATCAAAGCTTTCATCTGCTCCATCTCTGAACACTCAACCTATGCAGTTTCACAACAGAGATGTTTACCACTTTGCTTTGGGTACACTTTGGCACAGTGTGTTCCAGCAGGGAGTAAATTGGTAAAGTTAAATCAATTCAAATCAAGGTTTCCCCCCATTGAAGTCTATCTAGTGAAGTAGTTGTGAAAAATTGTATCTGACATGAATTCTCTCTGCAGTATGCAATGATGTGTGCAATGGTATATAAACATAACACAAATACTTTAAATATATATAAATATCATCATATCTCATCATTTTGTGTGGTGAAATATGTTAAATTTTATCTATAACAAATATAGCACTTACTTACCCATGATCCACTCTGTGTTTGTGTGGTTTGTTCAGTTCAAACCAAACAGATTAACCAAGTGTCTGACTTGACACTCCTGTTGAAATGCCATGTATGTTTATACAGGCTCAAACCAGAGGAAGCCCCACTTTATTATTTATTTTTCTTCCAAAAAAGTAAAATAATCAGTCATCCAACTGAAAATCCATCTTACAAAGTCCAAGGTTTTGTTCTTCTTTGGCTCCAGAGGTCCAGCCTTATCACACGTACATATCTCCAATTAAAGAAGTGCTGATCACTGATTCCATGAGCATTTTAGATGGTAAATGATGCTTCCTCTCTCATTCCTGTCCTGTGCATGGCAGTGACTGTCACACATTGTATTGTGTGTAATTGTGTTCTCTTTTTTTTTTTTTTGCTTTCAAATAGACACACACTCCACTGTCCCACTTCCAGCACCCAGTCTCCCCTGGGTCCTAATTTCCACTGACTTAAAGGGGAAACACGTTTACCCCATAGGTTTACCCTGATGAAGCCAGTTCTGGAACTTGCATAAGTAGTATCATTTATTGAAATCAGAGGCAACTTTAAGATTTCTAGAGAATGGAACTGCTTCCTTCCTGACAATTAGGGATCAACTGTTGTAGTCACAAAAATGCTCTACAACAAAATGCATGCTATTTTACATCTATAGAGGTGACTGTTTTTTACACTCCAATTACCTTCCATAGCAGCATATTAAAGAGCCATCATCTTCATACGACTACATCCTACACCCTAGCTGAATAGTTTTGTCCATATTAAATATGTCTTAGTGTGGAAGTATGAAAGGTAACAGTATACATTTCATCCACACCAAAAGGTCTTCATCTGGCTTAATTGACCAAATATGTTTATATGTCCTGGCCTGTAATTGGAGGTAATTAGTGTCAAAACATTTTTAGAACCAAAATTAACTTAAAAGTCACGGGGTTTTTTTGTTGTTTTTTTTTTTTTTTACAGATTTTCACAGTAATCAAATATGTAGTGTAGTGTAAATATTTCCAAGTGCTTTAATTACATTTTGACTTCTCTCCAGGTGGGTCAGAGACCAGGATTATTATCTCAACACAAAGTAACACAAAATGATGGATATCAAGAACATGATTATTTTATAATATGCATTACAAACTTGCTACACAGTGTGTAAATCTAAAAATATTGAATCAATCCGTTTAGCCTGACATTAGATAAATAACACTATTCATTTTATTTACTTTGATCACACACCATCATCACCATCTCCGTCTAGATAACTGCCATATACACAACTAATAATGCGACATAGTGAAAATGACCTGCATCAAAAACATTATTGTTAAAAAAATAAAAAATAAAGACTACCATAGAAACTAGTATAATACTAAAGTATGGAGATCAAAGTCTTCGAGTTCAACATCCACAAAGAAAAACACTACAACACCTTAGAGGGGCACTTCAGTTTATTAACCAATTATTGGTTCAAGTAATGTCTTGCAGAGGCAATTACATTTGAAAGGGAGTTGCTCATTACTGACACCATATGGTGGCATTTGTAATATAGCTAAAAGTACTGGGCAAGACATTTGCCCAATCTATTCTTAACTTACATCTTGCATTACTTTGCACTGCAGAAGTACTTTCAGACTCCTTCTCAACAGCTCAACAAAATATAAGATTTATAACAGACATTAAATGTTAGCCATAAATTGCATTTTAACCTGTAAACATATCAGTGCATAGAGTGTCATGTTTACATCTGCTCTACTATACAACTTCATTCAAAATGCCTATATAACTGCAAAGGCATACAGTACATTCCTCCTACATATCAAAGATATTTTCTCTCTGAGGGACAGGTTTATATTAGCATTACCGCTTGAATTAAATAATGCAGTATGTAAAACTGGGAAACAAACAGAAAACAGGGTGTTGTTTGTAAACAAAACAGTGCAAACATTTAGAGACATTTTAGATATGTAAAAATCAAGAAATGAAAAAGGTAATCTTTTTGTAAGAGTAAAGTAAATACAATGTCAGTATGTGTCATATCGGAAGTGCAGTCTTCCAGTTTTACAGTGTGCAAAATATAAGGCACATAGAAGAATTAATAATTTGTGCATCATGGTAGGAACATCTGCACAATAAAGACAATAGATTTATTACTAGAGGCAAACAGCATAGCCAAGCTTTTTAGGAAGCCCCTTATACAGAGGGAATGAGGAACTTTTCAAAGGACCTGCTTCTTTCCTTGAGTTGACTTGGTGCTACATGATCAGCTCCAGCAGGTACCGAAGGCGACACTGGCTCTCTTTGTAGATGAGATATTCACTGTTGCCGAAGAAGCTATCTGAGAACTGAGGCTGAGCTATGGGCTCACCCTGAGGCACAGCAACCATCTTGCCCTCCAGGGTGATGAAGGTGTCCTCAGAGGGATCTGAAAATACAGACATTAACAACTTTACCAAACAAATCCTGCTGCATGATATCATTTAACACAGTGGCTCTCAAATGCTCTTATTTCTTTCAATATTAGGGTAACTAGAAATGAGAGTAAAATTTTTATTGAAACAACACGATCTTGAACATAGACCTTGTGTTGCTTTTTTTCGCATTTGTGTCTCTGGAGTTAGTGTTGTACAAATTAAAAAAAAAAAAACTTTGCCCAAACTGAGTTTTTGGACACCAAAGTGTCCCACAGTGAACTTGAGAGCAAGTTGAAGGAGCACTGTACCTGGCTCCACTGATCCTCGTGCCACCACACTATCATAGCCTGCAGGAGGGTTTTTCAAGGAACAGTCGTCTTTGGTGATGATGTATTCTTTGCCAAGGGCTACCTCACTCAGAAACATCACTCCCCTATTTTTAGAGGTGCGCACTACAAAAATACATGGCAGAAAAAAATTTGACTTTTTAAACACCATATTATCATTATTAATGCAATCAATTTCCTTATTATCTTCTTCAATGCCTGTGTTTTCATACAGCCTCACCATAACATGCAGACTTGCTGTTTTCAGATGCGAAATAAATACCGGAACCAACACGTCCTCCTGAATGGGGCATTATCCTCAGGCCGCTCTTTAGGATAGCAGCCACCACTGCTATGTTTGTACCATGCCACAACAGACGGCGGTTCTCCAGACTATCATTCTCGCTAAACCGCTCTCCCTGCAATATGCAACACATACATTAGGTCACAGGACTTCAGTCTGCTGTATCACATTAAACAAGACTGACTGTAGTTCCTACCTCCATCTCTCGATCAACTTCCCAAACATTGACAATGTTTGGTTTACAATAGCCACCTGAAGTCGCTTTCAAGTATTTTTCTATGATCTTAAAATGCAAAAAAAACCCAAAGTAAATATTTGTTGACAAGAGGACACCATCAGTGGATAATGTGAGATCAGTCAGTGCTTTGTATTTACTGAACGTTATTATCACTTATGACACAGTACCTTGAATATTTCTGTATCCTTGTCCATTAGAGTCAGCCTGCATTTAAGAGACTTATAGTCCTGGTCTAGAGGGTGAGGAACTGTCTCGATCATCTCTTCCTGAGCCTTTTCAGTCTCTGACTTCAGAGTCTGGGCAAGCTCGATGTCAGCCAGCACCTTTACAGAGCATGTAAAAGGAGAGCGACTTCAGGACTAATAAAATATCATAGAAAGGCCGCTCATTCCAACATATAATCAGGAAATAAATCTCACCATAAGCATCTCTTTCTTCTTCTCCACAATCTCTTTGCTGTTGATGGTTGGCGGTCTGTTACGGCCGAAGTTGTGTGGGACTGTGGTAAAGAACTTTGAGGAAAGTTCTTCCAGGCGTGCTTTTCCACTTCTTTGGTTCATAGCTCCCTCAATCTCCTCCAACACTTCAAACCCCTTTGCAATCTGCATCTTACTGAGTTTGCCCAAAGGCATCTTTTTGATGTCTGTATATCACACACACACACACACAAATCCCAACCAGACAGGTTGTTTGTATGTTTTCCTTGTTTCCTCTAAGAAAAGGTATGTCACGTTGTGTATTTTAAGGTGCAAAGTGTTACTTACTTACAAAAAAGAAAATACCTTGGAATAACAATGGCCTTGTTAGCCAACTCCAAGACACTGATCAAATACTGTATGTTCAAAATACTGAGATAAGTGTTGCGTAAACTCCAACCTTTGGTCAATCATTTACATGTGACATTCTGCACTCTTTGATATTGATCTTGAAGTTTTTCACATTTCTAAGCACTACTTTAAGTCAAGCTAAATATACAGAGTCTCAGAGATTTTCAATTTAGCCGCCCAATTTAGAGCAACAGGCGATCTGGCCAAACGGACATGTTACAGAACAGGTATTAAAGTACACTGAGCCTTTACAGTCTGCTTGAACCTGTTATACCTGTTGGTAAATGGAGACACACCCACCTAGGTTCATACATTCCATCGCCTCTTTGAACATGTCATTGCTGAAAATTAACTCGATGAGGCTCTTTGTAGCCTTCTCAAGGGTGCAAGGTAGAACTTTTTTAGTGACGATGTCAGTCTTTCCGTCGACAATGTCCACCTGCAACATTAAAAAGTACAGCCAGTGAGATCTGGCTAGGGTTGACACTGAATTTCAAACATTTCAAACATTTCAAACATGGATAGTGGTAACTGACATTTACATTACCTTGACCTCAGCATCCTGCTCTCCATCCACCTCAATCAGGGTGTACTTCCCAGGGTGGGAGACAAAATTTGACCGCTCGCACCAGTTGTTCTTTGTCTTGTCCTTAAACTTTTTCTCAAAGTCCTTGACAGCACGCTCAAGGTTATCAAAGGGGTTGAGTTTGCTTTGTCCTGCTTCCCCCTGAATTTAGATTGGAGAAGAGGCAATCAGGGGCAATTTGCTCTATATAACTAATTTAACACACTAAATCTGTTGCAGGGCACACTTACCACTCTACCCCATCTGTTCCATGAATAGTATTTGTTGTCTGCTTTAATAACTTGAATGAGATAAAACTTATTATTGTTATGTCCAATGTTTGTCTGGTTGAGCATGCAGTCGTAGTCATCGTATACCTGGTGGAGACAACACAGAACATTTTTCAAAATTATTATTCTCTTTAAATATGACAGCATAAAATTCAGTATTTGAGTGAAGTTATACTGCGCAGATGTCTTGTGTTACATACAGCATATTTCTCACCTCCCCACAGGCTGACAGTCTGCAGTGCTCATCCACCTTCCTGTTCCCTTTCACCTGTGGCCCTGCAGCCAGAAGGGCCTCTTTTGCAGAGGTGAAGGCATCCTTGACCTTTGGTGGCTCGGGCTCTACTTTCACCTTCTTGCCAACTGCTTTGGCAGCAGAAGCAGATCGTCTCTTTGGTGCCATGACCAAGGCAGGAAAACCCTGCACAGAAACTTTCCATGTTGGTCATTTGGACGTGATGCCTGGGCAAGCTCAGACATGCCAACACTAGCCACCGGCTAACCCTGACTGTCCAGCAAAACAAATTACTTTCCCATATACGTAAGCTACGTCAGCTAACCTGCTGTATTCTGCCATAACTAATAGCAACTGACCAACCATTTGCAGTTTGGATGTGTGTTGGAGGGCCTCTGCCCTCCACAGTTTTTTCCAAAGACGACCTGAACTCACCTTTAACCTTAAATGGTCTTAATGGTCAGGCTGGGAAAGAGGACAGGAGACGGTCAGACACAGGGTCTCCTCGCTGCTGAAGCTGTCCCCGGGCTGGCTGGAGGGTGCAGTCTGACTTACAGACGGCAAGTTTACATCCACGTTACAGTGAGGTGAAGAGGCGGAGCTCAGCTACTCTGTTGTCCTCTTCTTCCAAGCCTCGTTGTCAAGAGTTTCGGCGACGGAACTGGAGAGCTAACGGCTACACCGCCACCTAGCTTGCTCCGGTATGTATTGTTCTCTGTTTTCTATGCCTCTGAAAGCCTTCAAAACAGAAATAATGCGAGTTAACGTTAATTTAAAGTCCGATCTAATCTCCCTTCACCCTTGCAGATGCAGTGTTTTCCTTTACAAATGTTAAGGTAACATATCTTCTGTTATAACGTTACATTTATTCATTTAGCTGACGCTTTTATCCAAAGCGACTTACAATTGCTATACATGTCAGAGGTCGCAGGCCTCTGGAGCAACTAGGGGTTAAGTGTCTTGCTCAGAGACACAATGGTGGATGGGTCACAGTGGGGGATTGAACCCGGGTCCCTTACACCAAAGGTATGTATCTTATCCATCGCGCCATCGCCAATAAACATCTGTAACGTTAAGTTTACTGTTCACAGAAAATGTATGCTTTGTTATTTTAAAGGATAAGCTAAAACATTTTAAAATAATAGCAAACTATAAAAAAGTCGAGTTATTTTTAAAAACTGTTATTTGTCAACGTTGGATGGAGAGCCCTTAAATTAACCCTTAAATTCCCTGATTTAGCTACTGACATCAACTTGTCCCAGTTCAGATCATTTTTTTAAATTAACAGTAAACTCAAATGAGATTTGGAGATCAGGGTTGCTAGGGAGCGCAGTAACAAAACCAGAAGAGCTTGCTGTAATTTTGTCTATTTATGATATTAAAACAAGTATAACTTATTGTAAATTCCAAAGGGAAAGACAAAGGAAAACAATATTCCATGACCTGCCTATCTTCTCTTCTTCTCTTATGCTAAATTCACAAAAGCATCAGAGAAGACAACTCAGAAGTGTGATGTAGAGTAAGTGCACAGCTGGGTAGTGTGTGTCTTGTGTTTGTGTTTAAAGGTGGTAAATATTTTTAGCTCTTATATAAAAAGGTTGACTTAGAAAGGACTTATTAATATTACTTGTATACATATTAGTAAAAGTTATTATAGGTGGCGTTGTTAGCACCATTTCCCATTGCAGTCTCCTGTATGTTAATTAGATACACTGTGGATTTGTTGGATGAGGATGACTCTCAGCAACTGAGTTTACCAGAGCTGCTGCAATCACCCAGGTAATACTGTAAGAGAAGTGTCTTCTCATAATTATGTTTCTATATGTTTAGTTCACTATTCTTTAACCTTTAGATACATATTGACACTTTGTTGTTATAGTCACTGCAAGGACACATGCTTATATAGACATTTATATAATAACAGTAATTTGATGAGGGCCACTGAGCAGATCTAATAAAGTAAGATGATTTTCTGTGTCCGCTTCCTCAATATGCAAATACTTTATTTACAGCAAGCCCCAGGGCTGCTTACATGTTGCATTGTGCAAGAGTAGATCACACCATTTGGACACAAGATGGCAGTGTTTAATCACTCTATGGGTCTGTTTTCCAAAACATCTGCCTCACGCTCACAGGGGTAGTACTGACTGCTGTGTGTATTCCCAGGACAGCTTTGGTGGATTTTATCCCTTATCAGCAGATGATGATATTTGTGCTGGTAATTTCCATGTACAGACTGTTTGGTCATGGCAGATGGTGTAGATTAAAGCTGATAAATAATAGACAGCTCATATTTCAAACCCAGACCGAGTTCATCATCATATATTTTAAATAGTCAGGGAACTTGACTATATCTGAATTACACTTCTTCCACAGGAGTCTTACATTTATTCAAGGATTTAAGGCTGTGTCTCAGGAGGTTGAGCAGGACGTCCATTCGTTGCAGGGTTGATGGTTTGAGCCCCGGCTCCTACTGTCCACATGTTGAAGTGAGCAAGATGCTCAACCCAAGACTGCTGGATCAGTGTCTCACGTAGCAGCTCTGTCACCATCAACAAATGATGTGAATGGGTGTAAAGTGTTTTGTCCAATAAGGTTAAAAAGCACTATAAATGTGCAGTTAATTTAGCATATTATAGATATTAGGCAGTAGGCAAATACACAAATGTAGCAATGTTGCAGATTTGTGCAAGTCACTACGACTACAAAGTTTATTCCATTAAAGCATTTTTGCAAATACTATCCTCTGAAATGTGCATCTCATGATGAAGTGATAGACTATAAGTCATTTTGGCATTAATAAAAAACACATTTTATTTACATAAATTACAAGAAAGCACAAACTGGTTCACCAAAATCTACATTAAAAACGTCTTGTATATGTTACATTTAACAGATTTACTATAATTTACTCCATCATTGCAAGTAGAATCTTAAAAAAAAACAAGGTCTATATGCGACTTTATTGGCATCTCATTTAAAATCGCTACGAGTCAAAGAACAAAATAAAATAATCGGGACATTGTACTCACAGCACTTTGAGGACAACAAAGTCAGGACGATCGTCTGTGTGACCTCTTTAATATCTGAGACACCTGATTCAGGACTATTGATTATATAACTCTGTTTACAATGCTTGGCAAAGGAACTCGGCTAATCTTCACAAGGAGGACGTTGTGGAGTCCACCACCTCTCGTCCGTTACACACTGTTGGAACAACATTGGAGGCTGATGCTGCAAAACATAAAAATAAAAAATAAACTCCAACTTCTTTTGGATTACGCAAACAGTACAGATGTAGCACGTAACATATGGCACATGACCCTGCCATTCCTTTTCCACAGTATAGCTACCAAAGCCCAGAGGACCGCGTGCTTGCAGATGAATTAGCAGAATGATAAACAAGTAATGGAATCTGATGATATGTGGTTATGTGTGTAGAAACAATAGTGGGCGCCCTCACTCCTCCAATTACTGATTTATAAAAATGACGAAGAGGTCCTGTATTTTATATAGTGGAAATTTTCCAATTTTTTGTATAATGGAAGAAAAGAACACTTTTTAGTTTGCCTGAAGGTAAAGAGAATACAACAGCCAGTGTTAGAGGTATAGCCTCGCTTAGTGATAAAGTAGTTAAGAATAATGTTACAGTTCAGTAGAGTTATGATGTATTCCTGTGTACAGTGATGTTGTTGCATATCAGGTGGTACCTTGAGAGAAACTGGAGCCTGGGCCTGTGGTGACGCTGAAGCGTGTGGTGGCCACTCTGAGAGTGCTGACATTCTTCTGTGGCTGGAACAGGATGATGTGAACCTTGGGAGAGAAGAGGCAGCCCAACACCACAGACCCACTCAGACTGACGGAGATGCACATGGTGGTGGTCTGCACCTGGAAGAGGAAAGACAGGTGAGAAATTCACTCTTACAAAACAAAACCATGGTTTGCTTATAGGTAGGTCAAGCCCTTACACCTGCATCTACTGTGTATTTTACAGATATTACTCGGTGATGCTCGATGATTTGAGTTTATTTTCATGTAACAGAAAAGTAAACTTGAAATTTTCAATGACATTGTTTTTGGTATGAATTTATTTTTGTTTTTTGGTATTATTAACTGTTTGTTACTCTATAGTGCTGATATGGCTCTGAGGAAAAGGTTAAAAACAACCAAAAACTGTTAAATTAACTCTACTCATGTGAAAGAATATTTGTTTTAACAAGAAAGAAGCTAGATAATAAATTCCAAATCAAAGCAATGTGCAACAGATGAGGAAGGAGGAAGCTGGGACTGCTAAAGAGAGGTGTTAAGCGATCTGTTTATTTGCTTGTCAATCAACTGCTTAATCCTCGCTTCCCTTTTCCCCCTCACCCCGCTCACATCTTGCTACGTGTCATCGATCTTCATTACCAATCTCCTCGCAGGTTTCTTTTTGTTTTTTCTACCTGAATAACAGGATATAGCCCGGCATCATGTGGTGTGTGGCAGGTGCATCCCATTTTCACAAGGCACAGCAGGTGTCTGTCATCACCCTGAATGCTAATGCTGTTATTAAAATAATGTCGGCACCAAGTATTGCGCTGTGCACACACTGTTCTGCAACAAAGATAACAAGATAATAGCAAATACATGGCATCCGTTTGCTTAGGCAGGGATGTAACTGACACAAAGTCAGTTAACCCAATTTTTATTTACGGAACGGTTTAAACGTTTTACATAAATGTTTATCAGCTTCTTACTCACTTACAACGCCTAGCTACTCATTTCTGTAATAGTATTGATCAAATGATATTAAATAAGATAAAGATAGGAACTAATTGATACAGATATGATTAGAAAATGATTTGATATTAAAGTATGTGATATATATGTTTGCAACATAGTGGTCACTGAAAGGTCATAGTGTAACACATAATGTGAAATAACTACATCCCAGAAATCATCTCTGTATCTTGAGATGTATTGAGGGTCGCCATGTGCAATGAACAACAAAATTAAGATTCACCTCATGCCACCTCTGAAATACAGTACACACACTGATTTGATCAGGTCCTCGGTTGAGATGTAAATTGTTAAAAAAAAAAAAAAAATCCATCATTATCATATTTCTCTATCGTATATCTGACCTGCATATTTGGACACATGGAATAAAGATAACTCAGGTGACAGTCTCTACATAATAATCAGAGCAATACTGACATGCACAGAGGCTACTTACTGCAGAAATAGTAAAACCAGGGCCATGACTTCATAGGAATGACCTGTTAAGTGGTTTTAATAATTCACAAGATGTTGCTTTGGAAGAGCAGAGGACAGGGAATCTGCCTTTGCAGTAATATATTTTTTCTGCTCAAGTGTGGAGAACTGGATGTAGAGCATGGCTACTACGATTTCTGCTCATCTCTGTTCGCAGTTGTTGTTTGTTTTTTTTGCTGTGTTTGGCCTTTGAAGGTATTGTTTTATTTCCCAAATACAGCACTGCTGCATCAAACATAAATAATCTCTGCTGTTTTCAGGTAGCTTTATTCCTCCAGAGAATGTCCTTTTATTTGGCTTTGTGCTGTACATTTATTGAAAAGCTTTATTGGATCAACCAGCCACAAGCCAGTCTTGGTATAGGCTGGCATGCATGCTGAATTGACAAAAGATCTTGTTAATCTCTTCAGTTTTTTTTACCGTAATTAGCCATAAAATATGAGTTAGATTACTGAGCATTTATTGTAAAATATATTTTTATTATATGAAAAGGAATTCCATACCTGATCCCCACATTTTGATCAGCTATCTATAGAGTGTACCGCTGTAATTGTATTTCCTCCACTAATGCTGCGTTGCCGGATTGATTCCTGTATTTCCTCTAAGGGCTGTACATAGAGAAGTACTTCCTGAGAGCTGATACTCGCACTATATCCAGTTTGTGTGAGACAACACCATCAATGGGCTCTGTAGCAATCTAGAGCCAAAAATATTATGTTAAAGGAGATTAAAAAAGGTTAAGAAAGGTTGGTCTTGAAAGGATCTGTTTATGTGATGGGCAGCAGATGTAGGCAATACTTTGCAGATGTAGTCTTTCAGTACTGTCTTCAGTGTTTTCATAGACGTGCTGTGACTTTTGACTGCAGTGGCTGTTTAATCAGTTGTGTGTGCTGCTGAGATGAGATGGCCAGCACTTGCATTTGAGGAAAGCCCTGTCCCCCAGGGCGAGTAGAACATCTTCAATATTTCATCTGATAATCAAATGTGTTATTCATGGCTCAGTAGATTTCATGACAGACCACAATCATGTATTTGTTATTCAGCTGGAGATTTGCATCAGGCTGTGGCAACGCTTTCAGTGGCAGTGTAAAACTAAGAGAACACTAGTAATATGTCCCTGCCTGTAAAAAAACAAGAGACTCTGTGCCAACCAAGTTGCTTCAGTAATTATTCATCGGTCAAAGGGGCGTTTTGCGTCTGTCTGATGAGCCCGTTCTGGCTGTGAATTGCTCACGTTGCCTGGAGGGCCTGCAGGGAGGGTTCCTCTGAGCCTCACTGAGGTCCCAGGACAGAGGGCACAGCTGGGACTCAGCATCCCAGTCTTTCACGCTCCATTCCACACAGCTACGCACAGAGACACACAGGGACATTCAGCTCTCTTTAAGCCCTTGTGGTCTTGCCCGTCTTTGCTGTGTTTCTGCAGAGGCGGCTGTGTCAGGGGATTCCGCTATTTCTCCCTTCTGCCTCTCTCTCTGTGTTGAGATCCCAAAAGAATCAAACCCCACGACTCAGGCCACCCTTTTCTCTGAAGTTCAGTCTAGTGAACAGTATGTTTGTGTGTCTGCAGATGACCATCAGCATTCATTCAGCACACAGGGTCAGAAACTGAACATATTGCTATCTGTCTATCTATCTATCTATCTATCATTTTATTCTTCAAATGGACTGTGTGCCTGACTCAGTGTCAGTGGTCTCAGTAGAGACATTGTTGTAGATGGAGTAGTTTAAAACCTTCTTTTTCCAGGGTTAGGTTTAGTTGTGTGGAAATTGCTGGGGCTGGAGGGATAAAATGACTTCCTGCTGTAAGCTTTCATTTTAGGGGTGATGTGAAGGAGCTGCAGTGTCTTCCCTCCATTTCACTTGTTCATTTTAACCAAGCATAGACTGTTTATGTGTCTTTTGTTCCTAGAAAACCTAGAAACAAATGACTGACAAAACACGTAAGTTATACCACCACTAGAATTGGGGTTTTGTTGTGCAAAGGCTAAGATATTTGGCAGCCTGTTACACTTCTCCATGACTTGAGCATACATATTTTATAATTTACTTTAACTTCATTAATATTTAAACTTCAAAGGTAAAATAAGGCTGCTACTTGTCTTGGAGAGCACCTGACTAGTTTGCAGCTAATTATGAAGATTTGAAGCAATACACTAATAAAGAATATATATTCCTAAAAGCCATGGGCAACACAGACACAGCTGACTGTTGAATCAGTACTAGCTGACAGTTTGTGATTTCATGCATATAAAATCCAAATTCAACCCCAGTAGAAGGATTATCTGCTAGGATGTATTCTGCTCAGATTAGGATCCTAAAGCCATCTGAACAAATAATTTAATACAAATCATTACTACAGCATTCATTTAGGAAAGACATTTCATTGATATGAGAAACGTGTGTAGTGATTATTTTACAGGATTACATGTGCACACTTGTACGTATGCATGTATAACCTACGTAACTCACCCTGTAGTCACTGGCAGTAACGTAGAAAATAGGCTGGAAAGCCAGCCAGATGATGCAGGTGGTGTACATGGTGAACCCGATGAACTTGGCCTCGTTAAAGTTCTCGGGGCATTTGCGGGTCTTGAAGGCATAGACCGTGCAGAGGATAATGAGGATGCAGTTGTAGGTTAGAGACAAGAGCATGCTGGAGTCCTTGCTGTTACACTTAAGAGTGACCACGTCTCTCCTCTCTGGGCTCACTTCCTTTCTCACCCCTGGGGTCTCCACCAGCAGCCAGACCACCACCACTACCAGCTGGCAGGAGATCAGAGCACCACAGATGGCAACCTGGGAGGCCGGGCTGATAAATCGAGGCCGCTGCGCTCCGTCCTTCACCCCGCTGAAGATCCGAGCGATGCGATTGGTCTTGGTTAGGAGGGCTGAGTAGCACACAGCAAAGGAGGTGCCTAGGCCGAGCCGGCGCAGTGTACAAACTGCCGTGGATGGTTTGGCAATGTAGATGAAGGTGATGCTATAACACATCAACACTCCCAGCAGAAGAATATAGGAGAGCTCACGTCCACTGGCCTTCACCACGGGTGTCTCATTGTGTTTCAGGAAGAGACCAATGACGAAGAGCGTACACATCATCCCTAGACAGGAAATGGTGACGGGTCCAATGGCCCAGGCATCTTCCCAGCGGATGTATTCCTCAGGCAGGTCATAACAGCCAGACAGGTTGGCCAGGGGCCACTGTCCAAAGCTGCAGTCAGCACAGGTGAACTCATCCTGCAAATACTGGTAGGACTGACAGGGGATACAGATCCAGCAGCACACATCTCCAGGCTGCATACTTTTCACCTCGTTCTTCTTGCAGGGGTCACTACACTGAGAGGTTGGCGCAACCAGGCCAGCCCAGGGGATAAGGCTGGTGTTCAGGGTCAGGCTCTGAGCCCAATAGCCGACCTTACGGTAGACATAGTGTCCGCCTTCTTTGTGGTAGTGGAAAATGTTATAACGGCCAAGGCTGTCCCCGAAGGCATCAAAGCGGACTACATTCTCTGTGTCTGGTGGACGAAATGGCGCTGAAGGTGAAAAGAAAACAAGAGGGTGTTAGAAAAGAGTATAAGGGGGCCATCGTATGGCAAATACAGCAACAAAATTGTCAAAGTGAAAGCAAAGCATAAATATCAACATTTGTTTATTAAACATGTCACAGTTGGACAGTTTTGGAGCAACAAGACCTGAACTTACATCTTCTCTAGAACAACGTCATATTAAATTAATCTCTTTGCTTATTTATGTGTGTTTGTTCACATTTTATTTGTCTAGCAGTATAGACTGAGCAGTGACTGACGGGACACAGGTGCATTTTGTCAATTTACATGATCGAAGCCACAGCTTGAGTTCCTGGATTGAACACTGGAATGGGAACAGGTGGCACATTATATATAATAATGTTGCATTTTCCTTATAAAGTTTCTTTTAGAAATCAGCTATCATTATCAAGTTTAAATTGACTTCAGTAGAAGTAGCAGCACAAGATTTCTGCATACAGGTCAGAAAATAGTGCACTAAGGGTTGCAACTAACGATTATTTTCATTATCGATTAAACTGCAGATTATTTTTCTTTAACTGATTAATAATTTAGTCCATAATGTTTTGGAAAATAGTTTAAAGAATGACTGAAGTGATTAGTTGATTATTAAAATACGGTAGCTGCCATTCATTTTTTTGTGGCTCAACTAATTGAATAATCGACTTATTGTTTTTCATTTAATTGTAAAACATGTAATGATTTCCTAAGTGTGAATATTATATTAAACAGCCATTATCTTATATATTATAGAGTATTAGAATTCCTTGTTATGTAGCACTTTACATGTTGTCTATTATATCTAATGATATTATGTAAAGTTAGTGGTCCACCTGTTTCTGTGTGTTTTCTCCTGAGGGTGTTGTGATGCCTGCAGGGACTGACTAATTTAAGTCCTCTAATCTAATTTTAAGTCTCTGGATATTAAATCCTTTGGGTATTTTTTTTTACAAAGAACAGAAAAGCACAGCTGGATAAGAGCACCCCACCTCTATCTCCCATCAATGAAAATGTCAGTATTTCCATAAATCGAAGGATCGAAAGACAATACAGTTAATTTACGGAAGTGAGTGAGAGCATTTGAATTGTTGGGGTCTGTCATTTGTGATGTGTGGGTGTGCTGATGCAAGCACGTTTTATGTTGCAGCTTTGTGTAGACAAGCAGAAAATAAGTAATGTTTGCGTGATTAGTATCTGCAGTGGTCAAACTGAAGAACCTTTTCTCTATTCACACTTGAGCCAAGATGTATGAAAAACAGAGCCTCCAAGCATGAGGGTGAGGAAATAGTTTCATATTTGCAAATTGAATCATTACAGAGCTTATCTGCAGCTGCAGTGTATAAACATGTAGAATTACTCTTGCAGTACTTCTACATTTTATATGAATTGGTACAATGAATCTAAATTGATATAACCTAATTTGGCAGCATAAGTACTTGCAGAGTGCACTTGGGGAAATTAAATATTATATTGATGTTTGTATGGCATTTCATACAGATGACGGAATACAGAAAGAGAAAGGAAGCTGCTTTACAGCATGAAAACTCATCTGTTTAGCAACATTTTAATAATATTAGTTCACCAAGATTGTACTCACCCTCAAACTTGACCTTGAGAATGTAGTCCCTGTAAAATTTTCTGCCGTTGCCAGGTTTGAGAGCCTCACACATCTTGGTGGAGTTGGGGCATAAGGCCTGCCTCATGTTATGTAAGGCAGCAGCCATTGCATAGACAGCATTCACAACAAACATGATCTTGGATTCTGGCTGAAACGGAACCTCGCGGAGTGAGTGCTTCCCACAGCTCAGATCGTGGAGGCTGCATTGGAACTGGTTTTCCCAAAACTCTCTGAACCAGGGATTCCTGGTGTTGTTATACGGGTGCAAGGCAGTGAAGTAGTCATTGAACTGGGGGATCGGATAGGAAGCCAGTTCAATGGTGAACGCCCCGTCAGCCACAGCCTCACTGCCTCTCACCACACTCTCCTGCGCTCCCCAGCCGTCACTGGCCACCCAGGTGAAGGTGACGTTCATGCGGTTGGCTGCCACCAGCAGCTCGCGGGCGTCTTCGCTGCGCGTGAACAGGATGACCACCTTGGCGTTGGACTTCTGCTGCAGGGAGCGGATCACGTTCTCATAACTCCAACGGCTCATGGAACGGCTCACCTTGGCTGAAGTTGCAATGCAGATCTGGCGGGCACGAGCCTCCTGCTGGAAGGCATCAATGCCAGTCTCGCCATAGTCACCTTCTGATGCCACTGTCGACACGTAGGTCCAGTTGAAGTAGCGCAGGATCTCGGCCATGGCCTTGGCCTGGTAGAAGTCCGGTGGCACGGTGCGGGCAAAGTAGTCATAGCGGGTCTTGTCACTGAGCTTGGCACTGGTGGAAGCATAGCTGATCTGAGGAATTTGGAAGAGTCGCAGTAGGTTGGCCACCTAGAATAAGTGAAAGACACCAGAATGAATATGTTTGTTACTCGAATCAGTCGTGAAAGAATATCAGTAACTGGTACTGTAAGTATTACTATGTATTCTATAATGACACATTAATTAGAAAGCTGGTCATTAACTTATTACAGTTTACACAGAAAACATACACCTGCCAACTGTGGGAATTGTTTTAATTGCTCATCATTAAAAAAATGAATGAAACTGGCAACATGTTCCCCTGCAGATGCAATTAGTCTCACCCCATTCAGTGTCTTATATCTTCACAGGATCCCTGCTGGGCATTTCACAACTTACTGTAACTCTCCTGCTGACTGAGTGACGAGATCCTACATTTAACAATTATGGGGACTGGCTGTCTACCTCATTTTTTCTGATCTTGATTGCTGTCAACAATGTTAACAACTAAATATGTACGGAGGACTTAGTGGCTACAGGTGTCAGTCGCAATGGATAGAATTTGTTTTACTATAAATGTGAACACATTTTCGTGCTCTGCTGTGGTGAAGAGATAGAAGTAGACAAGGAGAGACAGCGAGGGGTTGAAGGCAGGGATTGGGAAGGGAAAGGAAGTCAAAGTATCAGAGAATGTTGAAACTTTGCATTTTCTGTGTAATAGGTTTTGTCAGTGCCGTGAGTGTGCAGAAGCAGCTACTGACTAGCTTTTGCTTCAGGCACTTCTGTGGAAGCCTTAGGAGAGCCAGTCTGATCAGAATCAAAATAATGCCAACCTAAATCTGGTTGACTTTAATGCTGGCTCTCACACCAGCAGCTCACATCATGGCACAACATCTTGAATGCCAATGAATCATTGCTGAGAAAGCCAGAGAGGAAATTCACATTCAAATGCATCCACTCTAAGTTTAATTCCTATATTGTCAAGTATGAAAGTATGATATGATACACATGGAATGGGGCAATTCCATATTGTCTCTTTTACCCAAATAATTGTAATTTTGTTATAACTATGGATTACAACAAATTATGCTGTTGTTGTTTGAGAAGAATCCCTGCAGCCACTTGCGGAGCTCCTCAACTCCGAAAATATTCAAGCACATTTTTGTTCCACCATCACTTCTCGTAAAACTGTCTATTCGAAATCTACACAGCTGATTTCTCACCTCAAAACTTCTCAGAAGTGGATTTAGTGATGAAATTCCATACGAAAACAGTAAAATATTTCTTTCTGTTGCTGGCCTCTGTCTGGCGCAGGCAATGATGATGCAGTGAATAGTGAATATTCTCTCTGACCAATCAGCAGTCTGTTGTGTTTTCACGTTACATTTTAGTATCCCTCAGCTCGCTTGGAACCTCCACAGAGGTGAGGTGATACGAAAAAAAGTACCTGGAAGCAGGTACAGGTACAAAATTTCTACAATGGAAAACCAAACAAAGGCGAGTCGAGCCAAAAGGCCTCCGTTCAGACTAGCTTGGTTTGAGGGCGTGCCTGACCCCTGCTAGCCGCTTGGCAAGCTTTATGACGCGTTTTCATTGTGACGTCACAAGTAAAGGAAGTGAAGGGCTGGACTACAAACAAGCGCAGCAGAGCAGAGTTTTCTGTGGGAGATGGGAACTCCCTTTGGGCTTTTTCACTTTGCAAACCTGTTACATGCACAAAAAAGATATATAACTCAATAAAGGAGAGGGGGAAAGCCAAAAAGCATAATACCACCTCTTTTAAGACAGATTAACCTTGCCAGGACAATATTTCAAGGCCCACCATCTTAGATATACTTTCACCACAATAGTATTACTATATCTATATCATATCTATAAAATTGAAGGAAATCATTTTGGATTACCATGTGA